GAGTGAAGAAAAGCTGTAGGCTGGTCAGTGCTACTGTGTGCTATGAATGTGAACGAGTTTGATATATATATATATGTATATATATGTGATTTTCAAAATGCATATTACTGTTATAATATGCACAAAAAGATTGATGAACTGATAACCCCTGAAACGTTTTACAATTTCCTTTCTTCCTTTTCGATTCATGAAGTTGACTGAAAAGATTGGTGACCCCTAAGTCTTCACTTCTTAATCAGGGTCGCCTCGCATCTATGTGCGAGGAAACTCTAATTAGTTCGATAGTTGATCCTTGTTCGAGAGGCTGGCCGAGTTGGACGAGGTGGTCGACGTAGAAATCGCGCTGTATGGGTGGCAATTTGAGCCCATGCGCTCCACTGGCAAAGTAGCTGCGAAGTTTGGGGCGAACGACATACACCCACTCCTACCTAATTTGAACGCCACAATTGCAAGGGGACAGGAGTTATGGTTTTACGCCCAAGCATTTGTTTGGCGCAAACGCCACCCCCTGTGGCGGAGTCCGGTGCTGCCACCCACTATGAGTGCTCCCGTATTGCCTCCAGATTCCTACTTAATTTGATCGCCATAGGGCTAAATTGACCATTTCGTGCAAAACTCGCTCACTGTGGGCTTAGTCCGGTCCCGCCACCCACTATAGAAGTTTCTATCCTGCATCCTTTACTCCTTTCAAACAATTTATCGAACAAATAGAACTCGAGCAGTTTTGACACATGAAGACTTTAATATCGAGTAGTGTTGATCTTCTTGGAGTTTTTATATCATAACTTGTTGAGTTGGCATCAAATTTTGAAAGGGTCGATTAACTCGGTAAAGTCCAAGTTGGCGGGATTGTTCCAAACGAATTCGGCGGAAATTTTCTCTCTTTATTAGCCATCGATGCACTATTCCACTTATTGACTTCACAATTGTACCTCAATATTAACGTGAACTGTGCACTTGAGTGTGTTAGCTTGGTATGTGTAGTGTCTCAACCTCCTGATAAGCTTGCCCTCTTTGGCCAAAACACTATCCGAAAACTACTACAAACTACTTCGGCCTCGAAGCCTCCAATTTTAGAATATGGCTCTCCCTCTTTTTTCGACAGCGCTTTGTACTAGTGCTCATATCCTAGTTCGAAGATTGAACACTTTCTTGTGTGTCTTCTGGTAGTCCGTGGCTCAGTGAATATTAGTATCACTCATATCGTCATTAACTCCTACAAGAGCACTGACACTGCCGAGATTTCAATTTGACCCTGTCGTTGAAAAGCAAAGAAAATACGATGAGAGGCTTATACTCTCGATTCGACTCTGCTACTCTATCCATCTTTTAGTGAGCACTACTTCACGCTTCCTCTCTGCATAGCTTCCGAGACACACATTCCCTTCGTTGTAGGTAGAAATCTGGTACATGTGCCCTACATACAATTATTGTGACTACGAGGCTCCCTCAAAAACTACGTTTTGCTCGGATAACTCGTCAGAAAAGGCGTTATTCCTGGTTACGCTATTCATCAGTACATTCGTAATACATAATGTATCCGTAATCACAGTTTTGTAATGAGCAAAGCACGATTGTGGGGGGCGCAGTAGAATAATATATAAATGACAATCCTGTACATGAGTAAAATACATTTGTGGGCACAGTAGAATAACTTGTGTAAATGCCAATTCTGAACATGAGCAATGCACATTTATGGGCACAGTGAATATTATGCTTACATGGTTGGACGCCGGAATGCGTAACTTGATTATAGCTGATGAGGTCCTCCATGAAGAATACATTTTCACGAAGCAAGGCGAATTCGGTGCATTATGAATACGTCGATGCTGAATGGCTTGAACCTGGAGATCTACTTCACGAATGAGCCTTAAGCCGCTAATAAGGTGCTAATTCAATTATGAGGGGGAGCTATCAATTGTAGTATCTGAAAAGGATACCTGCGACCATTGGACTTTAGATGGGAGTAGGGTCCAATTAATTAATCATGGAAGTCGAGGACTTCCATCGTCCTCCTCTCCTTATATCTTCGCTGCTGACTCCCTTTCTTAAGGCTACAGTCGCCGCTCCTCCTCGGAAAGAGTGTGACGTCAGGCCTTTGTTTCACAGGGCAGAACATCGAAAAACTTCCTCATTCGCTTCCGTAAGGCGTCAGTAGAAAAAGAGGCGAAGATAAACTGACGTAGAGATTTGTCGGCCAACAATTGGAGGAATTTATTCAGAAGAATCAGACTCCTGCCTTGAACCTTAAACGTCACGGTCGTCCTTCTCTAGCTCTGGTCTGTTTTAGACTTTGGTATATGGAACCACCAAACGCCGTCTCCCTTCGAATCCAGATGCTCTTTACGCACCGTTGCTGCTTCGCTGATTCTGAGGAAAGCCGCGAATGATCTCTCTATGAAGCGTCAACTTTGTATGTCTGTTTGTGTGTCGGTTTGTGCGTCCTTCCAAAAGTCACGTAGGCACGATGAAGAGCGTGAACGTCACGTGAGCGCGGTGAGCAAACAGTTATGAAAGGGGAAGTCAACCGATGCTGTTTATATTGGTACTCTAGCAAGTCGTAGGTAAGCGGTTGTGGGCATGTTGTGCACGCGTTAGCGTGCGTAGGCCAACTGGTAATAAAATATACAGCAGTCTTTACTAGCTTTGACTGTATCGGTAATCTGGTCCCGATCTACGAGCTAATATCTATATAGATAATAATCCTACTATATATAACGCGCTAAGTGTGTCTGTTGGTTTGTCTGTGAGTGTGTGTGTGTATTTGATCGGAAATTCATAACTCGGGTTCCCGTCGACCTAGAGAGTTCAAACTTGGTAGAGGTACAGAAGGCAGGATAGGAACCTAATGGTGGGTGGTGGGGCCGGACTCCAGCCACAGGGGGCGGGGTTTGTGCGGAAAATCATAACTGTAGTTCCCGTGGACCTAGAGCGTCCAAATTTGGTAGGAGTACCCAAGATAGGATGGGAACGCTCACAATGAGTGGCAGGATTGAGCTCCGCCCACAATGGGCGGGGTTTGGTCGAAAATTCATAACTCCTGTCCCTGTGGGTCTAGAAAGTTCAAATTAGGCACGAGCACAGGCGGCAGGATGGGAACATCTATGGTGGGTGGTGGAGCTGGACTCCGCCCACGGGGGGCGGGGTTTGTGCGAAATAAATGTTTGAGCGAAAAGTCATAACTTCTGTCCCCGTGGACCTAAAGCGCTAAACTTGGTAGAGGTACATGCGGCAGGATAGGAACACTAATCGTAGGTGGCGGGGCTGGACTCCACCCACAGGGGGCGGGGTTTGTGTGAAGAACGTAAACTTGGACCTAGAACGTTCAAATTTGGTAAGAGTACAGGCGGCAGGATGGGAACATTTATGGTGGGTGGCAGGCGGGACTCCGTCCCTAATGGGCGAGGTTTGTGTGAAAAATTAAATTTGGATCCAGAGCGTTCAAATTTGTTAGGAGTACAGGCGGTAGGATTGGAACACTAATGGTTGGTGGCAGGACCGGAGTCCGCCCACAGTTTGGCCAGAAAATCATAAATCTTTCAGGGGGCGGGGATTGCAGAGGAATGTCAAAATGGACCTAGAGCGACCAAACTTGGAAAAATACAGGAGGCAGGATAGGAACACCGATGGAAAGTTGCAAGACTAAACTCCGCTCTAAAGGGCGTGGCGTGAATAAATACGATGAAGTATCTGAATACTTTTTTCTCTGAGTAGTCGCATTTGTGATATTATGCGATGTTCTATTCGGACACAGCGAAGATGGCTTACAGAAAAAATCGCTCTTGATTCGGAGCTAACACTGAGGGTGTAGAGCTTTCAAAGAAAAAGGAGAATCCGAAGTGTTATTTACGCATAGCAAATTTCTCACACAAAGAAAGGAGGAGCGCCCGGCGTAGCCGGCCGAGCCCATAAGAAGGAGGGAAGCCCGGCGTTAGCCGGGCGGCCCGACTGGTATCTATATATCTTTCTCGGAGGCCTTATTTTTGTGTATAACCACAGGAGTTTGCTTTTTAGCCGAATGGTTGAGAAGGTTTAGGAGCTCCGCCTCTCTGCCCTCTTGGCGACTATAAAAGAAGTTGAGAGACGCTGTGGCTATTTGTATAATTTGGAACTAATTCTCGTTGATCATGTGCGCGAGAAAAAGGTTCAGCAACTTTTCCAAATGAGATCTATCCACCAACAGGGTGGAGGCAGAGTTCCAAACGCTCCCTCATGGATAAGTAGGTCACGATAGTTGCCGAGGCTGAGATTTATCGACAGAAAAGCCAATAACATGGGCTAACTCTTCCTTCCTGCACTTCTAGCCGCCGCTATGGTCTCCGACCAGGCCCTCCGTTTCGGACCTGAATTGAATACGCCTAGAATGCCAATAGGTGACCTGCTAGTCACTATGATTAGGTATTCCGGAGTAACACTTGGGGTAGGTGGTTGGGCACACAACAATTAGGAATATGCCTGAATGAAGTCGATACATCAGGTCATCGCCTCCAAGGGACGCGTGACGTGAAAACAACGCTATTGTCGTGATATCCTTCCTTTGTGGTTTTGAATCACAGATGTCAAAGTAGCATTCAAAGAATTGGCGGTAGCGCTGTACAGTGATTCCACAAAGGTTTATGGGGATCTTAAGATGGTGGCAGTGCCCTAGACCACTTGTTCGCTAGTTAACCTATTCGTGATAGTTTGGTGCATCAATACAGCAACACACTCGGAACGATGGGTGCCGCATCGTCATCATTATAGCTTCATTGTGGCTTCATCATGAATTCTTGTCTATGCTAAAATACAGGTTTTGTGATTGATCTGATAATATAGATTATCGGCAATGAAAGGAATTTCGTAAGTTTGCTTCATATATATACATTAGAGTAGGGGCATAGAATTATTATTCCAGAATTTAGTTTTACCCAATGCGCCGTCCAGCCCTCTGGCAAGCGTTGGACTCATAGCAAGACAGTGCTACGAGTACGAAGATCAGAAGAAAAGAAGGCGTGCTATGTTATGTCGCTCTTTAGAAGAAATTCTCATAAATGAATATGTGGGTTTTCAAAACTTAACTTGATTTTCTTCTGTAGTTGGGGAAGGTCTACGTTTAGGATCCGGGCCTTAGAAGAATAGCAACCGTAGAAGATTATGTAGATTTGTTCCATGTTCAAATGGTGTTGATGTTCGAATGGGCAGAGAAGCTACCTGAGTTTTGCCTTCTTCTGGATCCTATGGATAAGGTTTTCAGTTCTCTTTAAAGATTTGGGTATATTTTTTGAGGCTGAATGAGGTGTGAGACTATTGTTTAGGTTTAATACTTTATACTGTTCTGCCGTACAGTGAGAGTGAGATAGATCATTGGGACCGTTTCGTACAAGTTGCCACTGATCTTTGTTGTTCCATAGAGGACCAAGCAATGATATGCTGTTGGAACGCAGAAGGTCATTGGAGACAGCTGTTCATAGAGAAGTTAGTCAAATAAAAAAGTTCCACTACAACAAACTTGTACGGCACAGCAGTATAAAGAACTGTTCAGTATGTCTAGGTTTGAAGAATGTTAAACCTGGAGTTCATTCATATTATTGCTATTATTGTCAGAATGTTTTCATTCTAAGGCAAGACTTTTGCGAGCATTCTCACTTCATTATCTACTGCTGGATAATTTATTCCATACTATGGAACTTGGATTCGAGGACAGGATAGTGTTCGTGAACAACAACTACGTGAAACCACTCGAAAGTTGTGAAGAAAATAAAGGGCTGGTAACAGAAGGAGCCGCAGGATTAATGTAAGTTGCATTTACGGCAATACTGTTTTCATGATGTTTAAAAAGTAACCTCATTGTATGATATGTAGTTACCTTCTTGCAACTTGTGTGAAACCCAGAAGTTTTCCTCACTTTTTGAAGCTTGTGCACTTCGCAAATGTGTCATTTTCCCTCTAGACCCTAAGGATATTGTAATCTCTGTCTTGACACTGGTATAAGATTGGTGGTTTGAACTGATATTTTGTTAACTGCTGTTATTTAGCAGCAGTACGCGTCCCGAAAGTCTCTCAAGGTTGATGATTTATAGACGAAACTTTAGTCTCGGGCGGGGCTCGAACCCGTACTTGTGCTTTCCGGGTACCGTGCTCTATCCCTTACACTACTTAAGAACCTCTGCGCGTACGGACCTGATCCCCCCCCCCCGTTTTAAAGCCAGAAAGTGTAGACTGGTCTGTTCAAGGTGATGATTGTTACATTAAAATTTTCCTTGAACACCTTCACTAGAAAAAAGTTCAAAAAAAGACTGAGGTTTTGTCCATAAATCATGTTGGCTAACTACTAAAATATTGATTGATATTACATCCCACTTCTATTCCGAATCAGTGCTTCTACACTCAAGGCATGCATACTTATTTAAACGTAGTTTTAGGAAGTGAGACTGAAGTTTTGTTCATAAGTCGCCAGTCTTGTGAAACAACGGTGTCTTTCATTTACAGTAGCAGTCAAAAATCTTCGGTGAAATGCTTTTCCAATCGTAGTTTTTTTTCCTAGTGAAGCGATTCAAGAGACTTTTGATATGTCAAACATCATTTTGAACCAAACCAATTTATACTTTTGGCTTCAAAACAGGGGAATCAGGTGACTACGCGCGAAGGTACTACTACAGGAGTGATTTTTCCTGATTGCGAGGTCAGCGACAATTGCATTTTTGCATCCCATTGCGGCCCAATTACTCTCGAACAAAAGCTTACTTCACTCTTGAAACTTATGCACTTCGCAAGTGTGTCATTTTCCCTCTTGACAATTAGGATTTTGTTATCTCTCGAATCTCGACAGTGGTGAAAGAACGGTGTCTCTCATTTACAGTAGCGGTCAGAAGTCATCGCTGAAACGCTTTTCCAATCGCAACTTTTTTCCTTCATTTCGGGGATTTTGAAGCTCGATATGTCAAACATCATCTTGACCAAACCAATTTATACCTTTTGTCTTCAGAATGGGGAGATCAGGTGATTACACGCAGTGGTTCTACTACAGAATCGAGCTCTTCATCTTTGTAAGAGGTTTGCGATAATTGCATTTTTTTTGCACCCCACTTGTGCTCGACGTTAGTACTCGTACCCTCACGGCATGCATAGAAGGACAGTAGTCGTCCAGGGTTTGGCTGGGAGCAGTGGACATGAAGGTATCGGGCATGAAAGTCACGGTCATCTCAAGGATTTTGAAGGACCCACAGCAGACGATTGCCTTGATTATCCCATGCTAGCCTTTCAGTGACACTATCTGCAATGCTCAGAGAATGGGAAGACCCCGATGTTCATTATGAGCCCAGGACAGAAGGATCACACTTCGGTCGAGCGCTGACCCTCAGCTCATTGCGGCTGACATTGCCACTAAGTTCAGCGCTAGCGGTGGCACCATTGCTAGACGGCATACTGTAGGAAGAAACCTAAGCAGTGCTGCTATTCATGAGAGGCGTTCAAAAAGCCGTTCACCAGTCCAAAAAGTAGGAGAGCTGGAGTGAAGTTCGCGTGGTGTCACCTTAATTGGACGTCGACTGATTTTGGTACACTGATTTGCCTACACATAAAACCACCCATGAATTTCACCAGAACTCACGTTCCGAACTTTGGGAGAGGCTTAATGTGGAATTTGTTCCCTACTCGGACCGTAACTGGTGGGCCAGCAACGAGTTCCATCTCAATAACACGGACAATTTTCTCTTCACTTTCTCGGAAAAGGTCACTTTGTCTATTCTGCAGGATGATAAAGCCACTGACCAAATCAGTTTATTCAGCAGCTGAATGACGACAAAGAGTGGACCTTGCATGATTAGTAGTTGATTGAGCCCCCACTCCTTCAAACTGTCTCGAAATACGATTTTCTGGGCGAAAGTGAAGGCTATCAATGAGTTTCTAGTCAGCTTGGTGCCCCAACCGTTGACGATTGCTTTCTCCAGCTCATTGATACCTCCAACTTGTTCCTTCATAAATCTTTCCTATCATGAAAATCCAAACGTTTTCTTTTAGATTCAAGTCCAGGCTGTTTGTCAGCCAGGGCAGAAGGTCGATTGGGTGTCGACTAAACCGAGCCTGGGTGCTCCAGCTGACGTGAATCGGGGGATTATTCTGCATGAATGCGAGCATATGCTGCCGATTCTGACACCAAAAAGGGAGAAGAGCATGTCGCATTACGACTCGATAACCGGAAGAGCTGAGCTTCTTTAGAACAAACCGTAAATGAAGACGTTAAAGAGAAGAAGCTGCCGCTCATACCATGAGCCCTCCCCTCTTGAAATTTCGACTGGAAAAGTGAAGCTATCCTTTGTCAGATTGTGCCAGTAGAACCGGCTTTCATTTAGGGCATCACAGTTAAACCTTTTTCAACTAAAAAATAACCTGGAGAACTGAACATCGAGAGAAAGAAGAGTAAAAGACAAGCCATGAAAAGATTGTCGCGAAGAGCAGAAAGGTTTATTAGAAGCCATGAATAATAAATGTGCAACAAAGTACAGTTTATATACTGCTCCGGCTCGCCAAATCTCCTGGTCAAGCCGAGCTGCTCAGTACTATACAAGATCAATAACTCTACTACTATGAGATCACAGATGCCACAACACCTCCCCCCTAAGATTGACGGTCTTGGTATGACTTGGCGTACGGGTCAGTCTGAAGGAAGTCTGGAGGGCGTCTAGTGCGGGTCGAACGGCACGGTGCAAGGAAAGGAGGCGCTGGTTGTGCAGTCGTCGTCGTCGTCATTGTCGTCGTCGTTGCCGTGAATGCGGCCATTGGAGACAACGGTAGTGTAGATGACGTCCCTGAAGTTGAGTCTTGTGAGGGATCAATTGGTTCTCCCAGTGAGTCACGTGGGCGAAGCTGATTGACGTGGCGCTTCCAGATGAATCCTTGAACTAACACGTTGTATGGCGTATGTCCGTGTCGTCGTAGCATATGTCCGGGAGACCATTTGGGTTGTCCGGAGCGGAAGTCGCGAGCTAGACAAAATCATTTGACTTGAACTTTTTTGGCTTGGCTCCATGTCGTCTGTTGAACTGCATCTCCACAGCGATGTCTGGCCTAGATTCTCGAGCATAGCTAGGCTTAAGCAACGCGGGTGTGATGCACGGCGTGTTCCTATAGGTGAAGAGAAATGTGCGGAGAGCGCCCACGGCCGGCCCTTGCTCTTAATCTTCCCTATTGAGCATTTGAATGTGTCGACAAAGCGTTCAGCTTTTCCATTCGATTGAGGATGAAACGGCCGCAACCGAACGTGCTTGATTCCATTGATTCGGTAAAATTCTTGGACCTCATAGGACTTCTTTTAGCGTTGCAGTAGAGGTGGCGGAAGATATTGGTATAATTTCTGGCCATTTGGAGAAAGGTCGACGATCACCAGGTAAGAAATTCCCTCAATCGGGCCAGCGAAATCAATGTGAATTCGGCTTGATGGCGCATCCGGGCGAGACCACGAACAGAGTGTGTTCTTGACGGATGACTTGGCGGTTTCCTGACAGGCGGCGCAGGAGCGAACGAGCTTCTCCAAGTGGTCGTTGATCTTTGTCCATGATTAGTGCTGGCGAGCGAAGGCCTTCATCCGATTCATCCCTGGATGTTCTTTATGGGGTGTTTTCATAGCAGTCGGCTCGAGTGCGGTCGGGATGAGGAGTTGTGAACGACGTGTTCCAGGACTTGACCTAGGCAGTCGTCCTCAGCTGTGGCATGTGCTATCTGCAAGAGCGATCGGTAAACGGTTGACGTTGTCGCGGAATATGGCGTTGACGTGACTAGCGATTTTGGCGATTATGATGTCTTCTTCCAGTAGCGATTGAGCGGAAATAAGGCGAGAGAATGCGTCGGCTTGTCACGTTGGTAATGCTTCGATACTTGATGTTGAAATCGTAGCGCGCAGTACGAGTCTTCAGCGTTGTAGGAGGTTCGCCGAGTATGCGGGGACTCCTTCCTCCGATCCAGAAATAGCCGGGAGTGGCTTATGGTCTGTGAGAAGTGTGAAGTGGCGTCCATAGCCGTATCGGTAAAACAGCGTAGACGAGGGCGAGCCCTTCCTTTTCTATTTGTCCGTAGTTCTTCTCCGTGGCGCCGAGAGAACGGCTAGCGTGATAGACGGCTTTCTCTGATCCATCCGGGTAACAGTGGGAGATGATTGCCCCTATTCCATAGTCTGAAGCGTCGGACGCGACGACGATCGGTAGATCCGGGTTGTAGTGAGTCAGAAGCACGTCCAAAGCGAGCTTTTCCTTGGCGCGTTCGAAAGCGGCGTCGCATTCAGAGTTCCATCTGGACGGGATGTCCTTTTTGAGTGGTGCGCCGAGTGGTGTACGGGGCTGACGCATCTCTAGAGCGAACGCTCCATAGTAGACCGAGGAATGACCTGAGCTGGGCGGTATCCTTCGGTCTGGCATTTGGTGATGGGATCGATCTTTTTGGGATCGGGTCCGCGTGGCAGCAGTGATGACGCTCTCAAGGTAGGTCAGCTGGGTCATCACGAAGTGGCATTTGTCGGTGCGGACGCGTAAGCCGTATGCGGATATCCTCTGAAGAAAGGGCTCCCAGGTTGGCGTTGTGCTCGGAGAGGGGAGGCTGGTGTCGATGACGTCGTCGAGGGAGGCAGCAACGGCGTCGAGTCCAGAGATCATCGAGTCGATAATCTGCTGGAAGATGGTGCAGGAAGCGATTGTGGAGGTGAAGTCCTCGATGCGTATTGATTGTAAGAAGCTCCCTGAACTCGTCGTCGACTTCGACCTGTGGGTAGGCTTCGGCGAAGTCGATCTGGGAGAAGACGGTTCCGCCATTGAGCTCGGTGAAGAAGTCCTTTGCGGTGGGCAGTAGGTGCAACAGCAGTGCGTCGATGACTCCAGTCGAGAAGACGGCGCAAAACCGGATGGATCCATTGGCTTTTTTCAACGACGATTGGCGCAGCCCATAGCGAAAGATAGACGGCGAAGATGACGTCTTGTGCGTCCAGGGTATAGACGAGTAAACGTGTCTTCTTCGCTTCTTCTATCCCTTGACAGTCGACCTCGAAGATGTTTTTGCACAGGTTCAACCATAGGTAGAAGCAGTCGTCTTGGTCCGCATTGTATGAGAATTTTTCGATTCTCTTCGAATAGAGTGCCTTGCGGTGCAGTTGTGGACGTTGACATCTTCTGGAGCAGGTCGAAGAGCAGCTTCTGTTGATTGGCCATCATCTGCAGCGGGTCCTTTATTGCAGAGTTTTCTGACATCCAAGCGAAGGTGACGTAGTCCTTAAAGACGTTGTCCTTGGTTGATCGCGAAGAGCAGGAAGTCCATTAGATGCCATGTATAAAAATGTACAACAAAGTTACAGTTTATATACTGCTCCGACCCACCAGATCTAGTCAAACCGGGCATATCAATGCTATAAAAGATCAACCACTTTACTACCATGGGATCACAGATGCAACAACAAAAGGCACCTTACTTCAGACGGTTCGGATGCAGTTTCTGGCAAAGGTGACCCGGTTATTGCGATGCTTTTGGGTCATGTGAGATGCCTTCCTCATTTCAGTGATAAACGGACTTTCTATCACGTTCCAAACGGTGAACATTGAGACACTGCGCTTCGGAGAGGACTTGATTTCTGTACCTTACTACGTCGCATCCGACGCTTCTTTCAGAATCGTTCGCTTATATCCCCAAAAGTAACGAAAAACATCACAGACTTCTTTTGCTTACATACTTGTTAGGATTCCTGACGAGTGGCATCGGCCCAAGACTCGAGCGATTTTGTGATTTGACAGCCCCTATTCCTGTTTTGCAGAAATCTGACTTTTCTCAAAATGGATAGCAACTTTTCTTCAGTCATTACCTGAAATTGAAAAACTGCAACAAATTAGGCAATTGTTTGAGGTGGATAAGAAAACTACGGAAAAATATGAGGTTGCTTTATCATTTTGTTCTATAGGCGAAGTGAAATTTTTCAAATTAAATGACGTGAAAATTGTTCATATTATTGGAACTCGTTGTTGGTCTACAAGTTACGGTCCGAGTAGAGCACAATTTCCACGTTAGGCCTTTGCCCGAAGTACCCTGGAACGTTAGTTTTGATAAAGTGTTCCTTCTACAGATCGGAGCAAGTTCAATCAGTTTAGAATCGATGGTATACGGTACGGACGACGTCCATCTAAGAAAGATTCAATCCAGATGCTTTCTACCCACAACCAAGCACTGGTGGAGGAAATGTGATGGTATACACTGGCTTCTCCTCGAACGGATTGGGCCCTATTTTGAAAATTGACGGTATGATGACAGGGGAGTATTACAAGAACATGTCGGTTAACGTCGTCTTGCCGTGGGCACAGTGTCACATGCCAGCACGATAAATAATTTAATACTGATATCCTCCTGTCTTCCTGGGCATAAAGCAGTAACCTTGTGCGGGCTTGGAATATTAGTGAAGTAAGTGAAATTTGAGTCAGTTTTTCCATTTTAGGTAATGGGTGGGGAGGAGTTGCTATCCGATTTAGAGAAAGGTCAAATTTCTGCAGAACAGGGACAGGGACTGCCAAATCGCAAAATCGCTCGAGACTTGGGCCGATGCCACTCATTTGTCGACAGTTACGTCAGGAATCCTAACAAGTATGGAACCAAAAGAAGTCCGTGACGTCTTTTGTTACTTTTTGAAGGATATAAGCGAACGATTTTGAAGGAAGCGTCGAATGCAACGATGTAATGAACGGAAATCAAGTCCTCTCCGAAGTTCAATGTCCCAAAGTTTACCGTTTGGAGTATGATAGAAAAAGTCCGTTTATCGCTGAAATGAGGAAGGCATCTCACATGACCCAAAAGCATCGCAATAACCGGGTCACCTTTGCCAGAAACTGCATCCGAACCGTCTGAAGTAAGGTGCCTTTTGTTGTTGCATCTGTGTTCTCATGGTAGTAGAGTGATTGATCTTGTATAGTATTGATATGCCCGGTTTGACCAAGAGATCTGGCGTGCCGGAGCAGTATATAAACTGTAATTTTGCTGTACATTTATTATACATGGCTTCTAATAAAGGCCTGCTCACCGCGATCAACCTAGGACAGTCCAACTCTTGATCAGGACAACGACTATAAGGACTACGCCGCCATCGCCGGGATGCCAGAAGACCCTGCAATGAAGGACGTGCTGCAAATGATGGCAAAGTCTACAACTGCACCGCAAGAGGCTCTATTCGACAGTCTCTAGAGGAAAATCGCAAAATTATTCTACGATGTGGATAAATACGACTTCTTCGACCGATAGTCCGACTGCACAAGGATACCTTCTAGGTTGATTGTCAAGGGATGAAAGAAGCGAAGACGACACGCTTGCTCGTCTCTGCCCTGGACGCTTCAAGCCACACTCGCTTCGCTCACCACATCCTGCCCAAAGAGCCAGGAGACTTGAACTGGACGTCTTGTTGATCTCCACGTGCGGTGAACCTCGGCATATTATCGAAATAACTTCATTTGTACAACTCCCCACGAGGTTACAATACCTTGATGGCTAACGTTTCGGTAAAAAAGCCCTCGTGAGCGACGTAGATCGGCTGTCTCGAGTTCAATACTCACTGTAGAAGGCCAACCTTATATAAGGGGTGAGTTCACGCATAATGGGCACGCATTTCCCCTTCTGATTCACTTTTGGATCCATGACCCGTCCAAAATGCCTCTAAAAACTTCCTCGCGGCTGTTCGTGGTTCATGCGCCAAGATCGCCCCGTCTGCAAGTCTTGACTCTAATTTGGTATCGCGGCTCAGGGTTGAGTCGCCACGCTGTCCAATATTGTACCTGCTCATCAAAACCCACAAATTTGCCCCTATGGACAACTTGGCATCAATAACACCCTCATCCGTTGAGGTTAGGCCTATTATCAGTTGCGTGGGTGGCTCCACTAACAGGATTGCATGGTTTCTAAGCGTTATACTAACACAACTACTTCGCTTTATTGCGTCGCACCTTACCAACACCCACATGTTTTTGAGTCAACTTCATAGAGTGCGACTATGTGAAACACGCGCCATCGAATCCTCCGATGTGGCATCTTTATATACCAACATAAGTAACGATGCTGCGATGGAAGCTGTGCTAGAACTGCCTTCCCAGCATGAAAGCACAGTCAATATGCACAGTCCCTCGATAGGTCAAATAATGGTTCTTCTAGAAGAATGCCTGAATTGTAACATTTTTAGGTGGTCGGGAAATTAGTATGAGCAAACTAGAGGACACGCTACGGGGCAACGACTGGCTCCTACTTTGGCCATTCCTTTCATGGCCAAAATAGAAGCGCCTGTATTGGAAGGTCTCCTTATGCTGTATTGTCGGTACATCGACGATTGCTTCATAGTTTGCTCTACGCGGGACGAGGTGGACCTTTGTTTTGACCTATTGAAAGCCGCGAGGAAGACCCTAGATGCATTTTGAATCCGGGAATTACATACAATTATGGTCAATTACGCGCGAACTCACCCCCTATATAAAGTTAGCCTTCCACCGTGAATATTGAACTCGAGACAGCCGATCTCTCCACGTACGAAGTAAGGAGTAGCTGCCTTTCCTTAATGTCCAAGCAAGAATCGCTAAGAGTGACTATTCTACAAAGTGGTATTGAAATCTCAGCAATAACAACATCATTGTTCACTGGAGATCTGCACAACCTCTCCAAACAAACGAGCAGTCGTTAGGAGAATGTTTTGAACTGCTACAGAAGTCTGCTCTGAAGAGAGTTATTTCCTCGCTCACGAGGGCCGGTTCTGTTTACCAGGGATGTGCGGTAATTGTTATCTAGCTAGGATTGTTTGATGATCAAGTTGGTCTCGAGGATGTTGTGGGGGTGGGGATATTTGATCGGGTAATTTCATAAACTTGATTCCATCCTTTCAGGCTCCGACGAGGGTAGTTCCACCGAACTTTGGCCATTGAGGTATTGTAACCTCGTGTGGAGTTGTACAAATAAAGTTTTTTCGTTAGGTTCTTCGAGAACCGCACGTGGAGATTGTTCCACAATGAGCCAACTCAGCATCAACGGCTCGTCGTGGATGTCTTATCGCTGAGAAGGCTGTCTTAGCTTGTCAATCTACTAATTTTCTCAAGAGCTGTCTGAAGTCGTCTGATCCCGAATTTTATAGCAAGAAAACGACTCCGGGACTCATTCGACAACCGGGAGAGCGACCGAAAGGTAGCGGACATCGAGCTGCAGTTTCTACGTATAGCACTGCGTTCTAGACGTGATCGTATGTATAGAATGTTGAAGAAGTGTGTGGCATAATACAGTATTGTGGCGAACTTTGAAAGGATCGCCACTGAGGAGAATAGTGGGTGGGTCCAAATCAATTTGTGACTTTATTCGATCTAATATCAAAGCTAACTTATAAAAGAAATTCGATGATCTTCTTGTTTCATCACGCAATTCTGTAGGGGGATATTTTCGTACCGACACTGACAATGATGCAGTCAATCGAGCAAGCGATGTGGTAGAACGAAGGAATGCATCTTGTTCAAGACTCACAGTGCCAGAGGACTTTACTCTGTCTGACTGCGCGCGGTCTGTTCTAGAATTGGGTCCCAGCTTCTCACCATCGCAACCCATTTCCACTTTTGTCATGCATAAAATCCCATGTAGTTTGCATGAACTCTAGTATCGCCTTCGTTATAGAACCAAGGTTGATGGGGGTCGCTTTAGCCACGACAAACACAAGGGCCACGCTTAAGGTACTTTTTCCGCAGGTATATTTTTGCAGCAGCGCTGGCGCACAAGAGCCGAGATGCCATAGCAGAGAATAGAAGAAATAATAATTGAAAGAGTTAGATGCGATTCCACTAAGCAGTGGAGATTCTGTAGGTGAATGGGAGAAAATTCAACTGCTGGGCTGGTGCAGTACCAGCGACCAGCGCGCGCTACTTATTGAGTCACATGGCCACGTGCGGGAAATTTACTCAGGCGGCAAACTTTCTGTAAATAAACGCGATCGGCTTAGAAGAGCTTTTGAAACCACATACGGTGGCTTCAGAGTCCAACGACGTGCCGACCGACCGACTGACCGATGGCGTTGCTAGCCAGGCGTTGACAAAGCAAGACAGCTTCGTTCAGGACAGCGTGAGCAGCTGCTTTCAGTGTTCACTGACATGCCTTCCGACCGGCCGACCAGCCGATGGCGTTGCTGGCTGCGTGTTGACGACACTGGACAGCTTGTGTTCAGGGCTGCGTGAGTCATTATGGTGCGTGATCCATCGGCGTCCAGTGTTGTCAACACGTTGCTAGCGCCGCCATCGGTCGGTCGGTCGAAAGGCGTCGATGGACTCTGAAAGCAGCCACAGTTAGCGCATCGGTCCTGCGTTGCTAACACGTGGCCTGCAACGCCGTCGCTCAGTTGGTCGGTTGGTACGTCGGTGAACTCCAAAAGCACCCATAGACGAATTCTTGTGGGTAATTGCGTGAAGTACTCGCTACAGTAAGAAATCCAATCAGCTGATCGCCCTGCCCGAATTGGAAGACTATATTCTCTTTTCTGCTACCCTTATTCAAAACTTCTACTTTCCTTCATACCACTTTCATTTAGAATTATCCGTTTCCTACATTCCCTATTCCTTTTGTTTGATTCGGTTCTGGAAGAATATTCTTCATAGATGTCGAAAATATTTCCACTAACCGTATTGTCATGTTAATTGTTTTGAATAAATTACTGCGCGCATTTTATGTCTTTTCATAGGAACTTTTGCATGCTCTTCACACGAAGTCATTGATATGCCCTCGCTCAATGAGAGAAACACTCTCTCTGAAGTTGTTCTGAAAAATCATGTTCAGTTGGAGCTCAATATTTGCATGCACTTATTGAAAACGAGTGCGGCGGATTCCTTCTAATGATTTCATGGTCACTCTTTTTTTCTTCAAATTGTTGTTATAATATTTTACGGTTATGTTCTTTTTTATTCAAAGCCTCTTGTCTATTTTTGTCTTGTTTTTTTGTATTATTTTATGTTCTGCTATTTATTTTATTAGTTTTGAACAATTTTATGTCTTCACACTTTCGTTTTCCATGTGTCTTCTCTTCTTCCGTGGAATTACGGCAGTGGTGGGTTTCACACGAATATTTGCTCTATTAACCCTTCCTTTTGTTATTATTTTCCAATGAAATGCTGTAAGGAACGTACCATTGATTGTTTAGTAGCAGTTTGAACTATTACTTTTAAATTTTATATGTGTACCTCTCACATCCCGGTGAAATACACGAGTGGTAAACTCCACTTGACTTCATTCAATGGCTACTCTTTCTCTGCTACTTACTCTTCACTATGCTCCATTGACGTATCGGTGGAGAACATTCAGTCTTCATTATTATTCATTAATGTGTTAGTGGAGAGTCACAAGGGCATATAGAGCTCAATAAAGCGAACATCTTTGAACGAGTGTCGAGGAATGTTCTTAGCAGTGAACAAGGACGTATCTTTGAACCATAGTAGAGATCAACTAATGAACTGCAATAGAGAATGGGTAAAAGGAAAGAATCAGTAGAGAAATCAAATCAATTTTGCCATTGGCGGAACTCCGCATAAGAAGCAGGGTACATGTACAAAATGAAAGACACAAAATGTGTAAAGGTATGAAATTGTTCACGTTCCTAACTATAACAAGAACACATCTCAGAGGCCATTATGAAAACTTTCCAAAGAAGAATGGTAACCCTTGAAATTTTTTAAAGGGTACCCACCAGAACACTTAGAAGAACCCTCTCTTTTCCAAGGAGGTGCATTGCATGCAAATATTGAGTTTCAAGTTGAAAACTGGAAAAGTGGAAAAAATTCTTGGAAAAAAGAGAGTTTTCCTGATATTGAACAAAATACACAATGATCTCTATGAACATATAAAAGGAAGAAGCAAAAACCACAAACTTCTATATATGTCTTACTTTTTATATATATGCATGGAATTTCTAGGAAAAGACATGAAATCATGCAATAATTACCTCAAAACTAACCAACACCTTCAATACGATTTATTGAATGTTCTTGACATCTATAGAGAACATATAAGCAAAATCGGATCATAGAATTAGTGAATAAAAAGTAAGAAGAATAAAGCCACTGTCATCGACGTCGACGACTTTTTTTCTGAGGTATAGTCATCCGACCCTTGGGGACGGGTCGAATGAACGTGTTTCCGGCTAGCCTTACAATTCTTCCCATGTTTTCCGCGGCAATCCCAGCCTT